ACCAGTATTTTGCTAGGAGGCAACGGTACTTTGAGTTGGAAAGGAACCTGGCTTAGTGCAGTTTGGTCCTGTAATGGAAGTGCAGCATCTGCATCAGGAGCTGGCAGCAAGTAGAGCTCGTGTACAGGGTCTCGTGGAGCAGTTGGACGATGTGAGGACTGGGGTGAAGAAAGCCGAAAAACAGCTTACGTACAATAACATAAAGAAAGACTCTGAGCCGCTCCAGTTTCTGACTGGTTTCCCTTCAGGTGTTTGGACTGCTCTGTGAGACTTCTTTGAACCTAGCCGAGAAAATGCACTGCGCCACGCCAGATCTGCGAAGACGGAAGCTGAGGGACGGCGGATACAGTTGGAGGCGGCCGTAAATCGCCAATGAGCATGTAATGGAGGCTCAGCTGCTATTGACATTGACGTGTCTAAGCCTGGGCCGAATGGAACAGAAGCTGGCATGCGTGGCACAAGTTAATCATCCGTTTCACGGTATATAACTAGCTGAGCTGTAAAGATGTCTTGTTCCTCCGTTTGGGCGAGCTGGCGAGATGTTCGGTCATCAATGCCATGTACCGCAACACATTCTGCATTGTGAATGAAACAGTTCTATTTTGCCATGCACTTAGGGTTCTCGCACCGGCACGGCACAACAAGACCCAACAGATCCTTGCGCTCTTATTTTCTCTCATGGTAACATTGCTGATCACAACACCCGGTAGCCAGTCGCAGATGCAACCAAATCAACCAGGTTCTCTTACTCTTTCAATATTTGCATCGAATGCAGTGATCATTTCAATACTGTTCAGCAGTACAACGCATAACCAGACTGGCATATAATCATGATAATATTATCCATTTCGCAATCACTGTCATTGCTTTCTTAGATCTCCAATCATCAATATCCGACCATAAACCGTCTATCATCTTATATTATATCATCATTAGTATCCCGCTACTATCCTCCTCTAACGATGAGCTCGAAGAAACGAAACAGCTGTCTAGAGGCGTAAACAATATCTGTCAACAGAAGTGTCCTTGCTGTGCTGGTGTGTTTATGCTTCGTGCATTAGTTCGGCCAAGAGTGCATGGTGGTGGCGGGTTGAGGATGTAGTACAGCGGAGTATGACCGAAAGCTCTGTCACAATGTATTTTATTAGGAAGGTATAGAAACAGAAAAAAAACTGTATCTTTATCTTGGGCGTAAACAGCCCGTCTCACATTAAATATACTAGAAAATAGTTCACTCTCAACATGCAGTCTTCCTAAGAGAGAGAGTCAGTGGGGGGGGGGGGGGGGGGGGGGAGGGGGGGATATTCATAGGTTCGAAAGAACCGCACACACACTTTGCTGCAGACAGCGGCAAGCTTTGACCCTCGTGCTTCGAAGAGGGAGCAATCCACTGCGCAACGCTTGCGATTAACAGCAAGCTTCGACTTTTCAAAGGTACGACTCATCACTGGCTCCGGGGTAATGTTCCTGGAACACATGCCCCATTGCCGACTGAGGGCCAGGGAGCACGCAATCTGCATTCCGGGGCGAGAAGTGTTCCAGCACAAGAAGCAGCACGAATACATGCTGACAAAAACCACCATCACCACCAGCCGGCACACAGCACACTGTTCTTCAAACACCATCCACTCCGTCCATGTGTTTGCACTGTCCTCCTCTAGCTCTTCACGCTCAACAAATACCACGCACTGCTAATCGTTTTTTTTCAATGCTTCCTCTGGGTTGGCTAGCCCTTCGACTGGACAAAACAGCGATCACCACTGCTATCGTCACCTCATAGCAGTCGCTTCCACCAGTGTCTTTTCCTGTTTTTGCAAGGTGTCCAAGGATGGCTGCTGTTGTCACTACATGCAAATCAGAAGTACTTTAGTGGCTGATGTCCAACCAGATCGTTGGAAAATCGATTTTTCCACTTCAGGGCTGCTGATCGCGATCGCGACTTGGTGACTTGGCAGCACCACGGTTACCTTCATAGAAGATGGCTCTGGAGAGGAAAAGGCAGACCAGAAAAAGGTTACTATTATCTTCAGCACCGATCTCAAGGAGAAAGAAATACGGTCTGCTGTAGCCTAGGCACAAAATAAATCTCACAACACGATTCGCGATTCGAATATTTCAACAACAACAAAACTCACCTCTGGAGTAACTCCTGTTTGTGGGCCGAGATCGTTCCCTCCCGCGCCTTGAAAAAATCCTGCAGCTGCATCACAGTCCATGTCTCTCTCGGAGACTCTGCTCCTACCAGCAGGAGGTTCAGTACCGCTCGAAGCCATCGCAAACCACTTGAACTAAGCAGAAGACATTCCAAAACGAACCTGAAACACACTGTCAAAGATGCTGTCACGTTCAAAAACTAGCTCGATCGCGAGTGAGGTTGCCCCCGTGCTCGAACCCAGTATAATAAGGGGATCGGTCTATTATGAATCATCTGAAAAGGTACACCACAAAAAATACGAAAAAAACTGCACTGAACTGGTTTACACAGACACAGTCACTGTCACATCATGTCTTGCTGACTTTGCAACTTTGGGCCTTGGAATTTCTATGAGAAACTCGTTCTGCTCGTTTGTGGCACCATGTAGCTTATCTTGCCTTGGACTTAGCTTTATTGGTTTACCAGCCAGCGCCAAGAATGGCAGATGACGGTGAAGGATCCGGTGGTGGTATTGTCGGCTTTTTATTCGGCAATGTCAATGAGAGGGGAGAGCTGGAAGACAATGGTTTACTGGATGAGGTGAGTGAATCATTTATAATTATTGTGTTTTCAATAAACTTGGCAATACGCAGTCGCAAAGAATATCCTGTTCGTTCCATTGTCTAAAAGTCTTCAGGACGTACTGGTTTGCGATCTTCGTTGTCGCTGTTTCTTACCGCTGGGAACTTTCATTGTGTTCGAATTTAGAAGGATTTGTTAGGCTGCGTTCGTTTTTAGCTACCTGGTAGAGTAGAGTAGAGTCACTCTACCGATAGAGGTAGATGGTAGAGGCAAGTGTACGAACGCTGTTCTACCAGATCTAGTAGTTTACACGATGTGTACGTGAAATGTTTCTTTTTTTTTATGGAGTTGTGTACAAATCCTTGATCTTGCTGGAAATCCCGTAGCTCTACCAACTTCTACCGGATTCTACCAACTTTTTCCCGGTAGAGCCGGTAGAGGAAAGTAGAATCTACCCTTTTGAGTAGAATTTTTTTCCAAAAAACGAACACCTCTACCGTAAGAAGTAGTTTCTACCCAAACCTGTAGATCAAAAACGAACGCCCCCCTAGCCTAGTTTTTTTTGTGGTATAGGGCTTGAAAGTGATGACGTCAAAAACGGCCTGGGAGTAGTAAATTGACATCAGATTTCTATTTTGGATCCACTAAGGTGTGACTTTGCTATTGCCTCAGTATGTGGGTGCATAGCAACCCACTCATGTCGTATGCAGGTGCAACTTTTACTTCGCCACCAGTTGTCACCCCGCCCCCACTAGCCAAATCAGTCAGTTTCACTGGCAACATCACCTTGCTGTGAGTGAGACCGCTTGAAATGTGCTTGGATCCATACAAAAACTGGATCCAGGTGGATCCAGTTTTCGAATTTTTCAAATTGTTGCTATGCCATTGCTATGGAGTGACGTAGCACTTTCAAGCCCTATTGTAGATTGTAGTTGCATGAGGATGGTATTTGAAAGTTTGTAGGCTCTCAGTACATGTATCTGTACTGGCCCCGACTTGTGCAGTGCGCTAGTCTGTACTTCTTAGCACGGGGGTTCTAGGAATGTAATGATCTGGGCGACCTCAGGCCACACTGTAGTAACCAGATGATCGTTCGTGAGCACTAAGGGTGCGTTTGGTTGGTACGATCTAGAACAGGACCAAACAGCTGGTGCACATGGAGCAGCCTCATGCCAACCGAATGGTACTCCAGAAACAGAGCACATTTTTGTGAAAAATATGCCAAACTTGGTGCATTCTTCAAAATGTGTATGGGTCACCATGGTCACTTTGTACGGTACGACGAGTCTAACCCAAAAGCGTATGCACGTGATCATTTGGGACCAAAATTGATGTTCCCGCCAGGTTTCACTGTGAAAAAGTGAAACTGCTCGGTCTGCTCCGGCCTCGAGGCCAGAGCAAGCAGAACATGTTCTGGCCGACCCAGAACAGGTGCAGTTCCAACCAAACGCGCTGTTCTGGTGAATCCTGTTCCAGGTCGTACCAACCAAACGCGCCCTAAGACTTAGTATTTGAGATTTGAATGCACAATGCAATGTACCAAGAGTACATAACCCCCCCCCCCCCCCCCCCCCAAGAGTGTGCAACTCGACTGTGGGTGCTGTCCCGATAGAATTTCAAGTTGACGTCATTTTTATGATGCAATGCGCACTGCACACGGATTATCAGATGAGTCCGGAACCTGTGGTGGACCAAAGCCCATCTGATCCTGTACAAATTATTGCAAAGAAAAACGTGTAATGCGTTGACACCCGTACACATGTTGTAAATCACTGGTGCAAGGAGCATTGCATCATAATTAATGACGTCAACTTGAAATTCTGTCGGGACAGCCGGGTATGTGGGAGTTGCACACTCTTGGGGGGGGGGGGGGGGGGGGGGGGGGTTATGTACTCTTGAATGTATACGTACAGTGGCACTTCAGTATATCGTACCTCCGCGGGCCGTAAAGAATGTGTACGTTATATCGGAGGCTGTGCACAGCATCACCACCAGCACTACAGCATTGCCATGTAACTTGTTGCATGGTGATTTTCTAATTTCTTCTTTTTTTTTGATTTTGCAAAAATGATAACGTCATAGAGTGTCATGTATGCATTCACAGTCCGATACGAACTCTAAAACCAGAAAGATCATAATAATATGTAGCGCAAAATAAAGAGAAGGAAAATAATAACCGGTCAAACGCTAAATACAACGCATGATGATTGCATGATGTATGAGACTCAGTGTTGCAACTACCTAGCCTTGTTCCACTGTTGTAGTACAATCATGTACTGTGCAGCCAATGTACAGTATCTACATGTATAGAAGTAGTGCCCAAGGCCAGATGATTGGTAAAGCACAAGGCAGGGTCCTCGGACACTAGTCGTTTAATACATGGCTGATATCAAAACAGTAAAACAGAATGGTTCCAGGCTGTCCATTAGAATGCTCAATGCCCAAGAGCAGAGCTACTTCCAACAAGAACACGAGGATGAAAATTTGTGGCTCATGCGTGAAACTCAGAGTTGCAACACAAATCTTCATCCTCTTCTTGTTCTTATTCTTGTTGCAGGAGTGATCACATTGAATTTGAGATTCTCTCTCTCACTCCCATACACTTGTATACTAGTCTGTGTCCTGGGTACACAATACCGAGGTGCTTCGTTGTAGCTTGCACGCTGCTATTCGACCCTGAAAGTTGTTACTCGAACGTTGTTGTCGCCGTCCCCTGTTAGAGTACAGTCGACTCACTTATAGCGAACTCGCACAGCAAACTTGTGATGTAGCGAACAATTGTCCGTTTTCCTGTTTGAACCCATAGACCATTGACCCTTTGAAAACAAAAAAAAGGTTTTCCGAAGCATATCGTGTAGGGCCGCTTGAAAACCATGTGCACTTACTAGTAGTACGCAGTCACTGGCCACATGCCAGTCATGATGTGTTGCATGTGGGGGACTCTAAGTGCAGTTCTGGTTAAAATAAAGAACTTCGGCGGCAAAGACCTTACTCTGCTGCGCAATGGTGTTTGTTATACCTGGAGTTGACTGTACATGTACTGCACTACTACAGGGGATTGGCTGTAGCCACAAAGCCAATAGATGATATGCTAATTAATGTGCAACTAGACTTGGGAGGGCATCGCACACAAGTTGCACACAAATTATACTACAATGTGTGCATGGTAGGCCCTGAACTCTGCAGGAGCACAAGTCGCAGGTAACCGTACAACTTTGAACTTTGTATGCAACTACTCTGCAATGCCCTCTCAAGTCTAGTTGCGCGTTATTTGGCATATCATCTTTTGTGTGAAGCTTTGACACGAGGACCAAAGTAAAAAGACAACCCAAATTAAACAATGAACGGAACACTCAACTGAAATGTGAGAGTGAATGCAAAAGCTTGTCATACAGAGCTACAGTAAAACCTGTAACTAAAGACCACCGTGACTAGCGACCAGCCTGCTACTACAGGCCACTTTGCCAGGCACGGATGGTCTCACATTTATATAATGGTTGTGCCGTGCAAACCTCTAACTGAGGACCACCTGCCACTAAAGACCTCTTTCTCTGGCCCCAGGGGCAAGGGGTGGTCGTTAGTTACAGGTTTTACTGTATGTGGATTCTTAGTAGGCAATGAGTACAATGGCATGTCTACACACACACACACACACACACACACACACACACACACACACACACACACACACACACACACACACACACACACACACACACACACACACACACACACACACACACACACACACACACACACACACACACACACACACACACACACACACACACACACACACACACACACACACACACACACACACACACACACACACACACACACACACACACACACACACACACACACACACACACACACACACACACACACACACACACACACACACACACACACACACACACACACACACACACACACACACACACACACACACACACACACACACACACACACACACACACACACACACACACACACACACACACACACACACACACAAAATAGGAGATCCCCCAGATAGGCGTTAGCCTTTGGGTAATCCTGAAACGAGAGAGCTTGGAAGCTCAGGGCCCTGCGCTATGCTTTGTTGCCTAGCTCATCGTGCATGTTGTTAGAACTGATGGAAATGCTTTTTCCTTTGATTAGCTAAATCATTGTTTTGCAAAAACGTTTCAAATCATTGTTTTGCAAAAACGTTTCAATGAGATACTGAAGTACAAGTAACGTCTTCTGCATAGCTATGGGACCGGCGCTGACTCTGCCGATGACGGGCGTTCTGGAGTCGACGGGATGTCTGTCCTGACGTTTCCTGGGACCGGCGCTGACTCTGCCGATCACGGGCGTTCTTCTTCTTCTTCTTCTTATTATTAATATTATACTGACGGCAACTAACATCCATTCTGATTGCATTTACTCGTCTCCCTACTTCGTTTTTCTTTCCAGAAAATCTCCCCATACAGCAGGGAGTCGTTTACATAATATGACTCCCTGCTATACATCTACATGACTGTATATACGTTATAATTATTATGCTATCGGCCTACATGCGATTTCCGGGCTGGTCGACAGGCGGCCCAGCCAGCCTGCTAGTGGGATCTCGGCCTCGCACACAAATCCACACAAAATTTAATGTTACTGCACTGAATGCATTCCCCCCATACACTTCGCATATATACTCATTCTCTTGATGGTACCGTACTCTTGATGATACGGGACAGGTACGGGATAGCGCCAGGCATGTCGATGGCACAAACAAACAAAAATATTGTGGCCAGCTGTCTTTGCTGGTACGGTACAGTACGGGATAGATACAAAATAGCGCCAGGCGTGACACAAACAAACAAACACACAAACAAACACCAAATTAAAGCTGTGTGGACCCTGGCTAGCGCCAGACGTTACTGAAGTAACGTCTTCTGTATAGCTACGGGAATAAAGATTATTATTATTATTATACACACACACACACACACACACACACACACACACACACACACACACACACACACACACACACACACACACACACACACACACACACACACACACACACACACACACACACACACACACACACACACACACACACACACACACACACACACACACACACACACACACACACACACACACACACACACACACACACACACACACACACACACACACACACACACACACACACACACACACACACACACACACACACACACACACACACACACACACACACACACACACACACACACACACACACACACACACACACACACACACACACACACACACACACACACACCTTTGGCCTTTGACACCCCATCTCCAGAGGAGATGATAGGCTACTGAGTTGGTCGGTACTTGAGGTGACGCTTGAAATCGCCATTTCTCCTGAACGCTCTGCTGCATGCGCAGTGGAAGTCCTTTGGTGCTGGGAGAGAGGAAGACAATGCTAATGGACCCGCCTGCGCCATTCCGGGCGATCCTGTGCGAGCTTGTATCACTTGGACTCCGGAATATCCAGTAAACGCAAATTACCGACGATCGTGTCTCGCCAACGCTTCTTTGGTCCATGGTGTGGTCTAGTTGCCTCAGGCTCCCCAAACAACACTTGCCGCGAAATCCGGGTCGCGTCCATACGGGCAGCATGGCCCAGCAAACGTAAACGGTATTCACGTAGGAGAGTGCCAATGTCTTCAGGAAAACGGGCTCTAGGTTGAAACACTCCCAGATTCTTGGATGTCGGAGACTTCTGCGAACGAATCCTTAAAGCATTCCTGCAGATTCTGAAATTCCTCGGGTGCGTTTACAATGCCCACCACCTTGTTGTGCGCTGCTGATAGTTCGCTGCCCTCTCCATCTAGAATAGCATAACAAATTCTGGAAGCATTCCTGCAGATTCTGAAATTCCTCGGGTGCATTTACAATGCCCACCACCTTGTTGTGCGCTGCTGATAGTTCGCTGCCCTCTCCATCTAGAATAGCATAACAAATTCTGGAAGCATTCCTGCAGATTCTGAAATTCCTCGGGTGCATTTACAATGCCCACCACCTTGTTGTGCGCTGCTGATAGTTCGCTGCCCTCTCCATCTAGAATAGCATAACAAATTCTGGAAGCATTCCTGCAGATTCTGAAATTCCTCGGGTGCATTTACAATGCCCACCACCTTGTTGTGCGCTGCTGATAATTCGCTGCCCTCTCCATCTAGAATAGCATAACCAATTCTGGAAGCATTCCTGCAGATTCTGAAATTCCTCGGGTGCATTTACAATGCCCACCACCTTGTTGTGCGCTGCTGACAGTTCGTTGCCCTCTCCATCTAGGATAGCATAACAAATTCTGGAAGCATTCCTGCAGATTCTGAAATTCCTCGGGTGCATTTACAATGCCCACCACCTTGTTGTGCGCTCCTGATAGTTCGCTGCCCTCTCCATCTAGAATAGCATAGGACATCACGATCTCTGGGCTAGGTCAGCAGTAGTGAGACGACGGCAGTGCTCATCGCTCATTGACACTCCAAGAATGGAACAAATGCACGGGCAATGGAGTGCGTCCAGGCTGTTTGTCTGCCGGGCCTTCGCGGCCCAGGTGTCTGCTCCGTGGAATAGAGTGGGGAGGACATTGGCCTTGTATACGAGATACTTGGACTTGATGGATAGACCACAGCACTGGAAGATAGACTTCTGGAGAGAGCCAAAAGCACGAGAGGCCTTGGTGCGAGGTGAGCTTCTTGTCCAGACCACCGTCTGCACTCCGGACGCTGCCAAGATCAGTGAAGCTGTCCGAGATAAATGAAGCTGTCCACAAACTCCACACTTCTTTCATCCTGAAGATCAATGGAATGTGGCGGATCAGAGCAGTAGAGAAGCACGTAAATCTTCAAATGCACTGGATGTGCACACACACACACACACACACACACACACACACACACACACACACACACACACACACACACACACACACACACACACACACACACACACACACACACACACACACACACACACACACACGCGCGCACACACACATGTGGTCGCGCACACACACAGGGCTTCCAAAGCACTGACATAAATAAAACTTGGGTACATTTTCTGCTCAACGATCACTCACAATGATCCTACGTTCAGCTTCTAGAGGAAATAGAGATTGCTTTTGTTTGATCCTTGAGGGTGGTGGTGTTCCTACAGAATGTAGAAAGCTCAATCTATTAAACTGAGGGTAACGTGAAGCTTGGAATTGTGTTTGTTTGTTTGTATATGTGTTTGTATGTTTAGGATTCTCGAAGGCAGCTCGGCCAGCTACATGATGTACTTGGTTCCTATATTGGGGATTTGAAGTCGGAGGATGGCACTGAAGCAGAGCTGCCTGGTGAGAAGGTTGTGTGTGTGTGTGTGTGTGTGTGTGTGTGCGCGCGTGTTTGTGCCCCTCCCGTCGCTCCGTAAAAGCAACACCCCCCCCCCCCAGTAAAACAGTCGTTCACGTTCCGCTGGACTCGCGGTGCCTCATGCCACGTCCTGAAGCCAGCACTCCTTCAAGTCGCCCCGTTTGGGGACACCTAGCCAATCGTGGCAGTGGGCGAAGGAAGGAGGAATGTGTGTGTGTGTGTGTGTGTGCATGTGTGTGTGTGCATGTGCATGCGTGTATGTGTGTTTGTATGTGCGTGTAGATGTGGGTGTGTACCTGGCCTACTGTATTACATAAGCGCCTGTCTGATCAAGAAGCCAGTTTGAGCATAACGCCTGATTTTCACGATGGACATTGAGTACATCGGTCTGGGTTCATGATGGACGTTACGGTATGCACGTTTTTGTTTTGACATAATATTGAAACACCTGATTTGAATTCAAGCATAGCAGCCTTCAAATCAGCTTACACAGGAAGAACACTAGCCTGTACTTCTATGTGACATTACCGGTACATGTACAGTAAAACTTGTCAGGGCAACCACTTTCCTAAGGCGACCACTTGTCCCAGAGGACCACGACAACTCTGAACAAAGGATGTTCTTTTCTCCAATCAAATGACCCTGGATACGGAGACCACCTGCCCACATGGACTACATTTGCAAGGTCGCTTGAATGGCGGCCCGCCTTAGATGGGTGTCTCTGTACTATCTTACAGATGCGATACAGTCGACTCCACTTATAACAAACTCGCATATAGCGAATTTTGTGATACAACGAATCGTTGTCCATGTCCCAAGTTTGAACCCACTATGTAAGTGTATTTCTGTTATAACGAACTTCGGCCATAAAGAACTAATTCTCCTACACAATGGTGTTCAGTATATCAGGAGTCGACTGTATTTGAGTAGCTTCTGAGCATCTTAGAGGTGATATTTGAGTTCCTGCTGAGCACCCTAGTACAAGGTGGACATCACTTAGCTGCCTGTAGTGTTGGACGAGCCCGACGCTACCGTTCAGTAGCAACAAACGTACATGTATGTATGTGTGTGTGTGTTTGCACTCGTCTGTGATTGATTGTTGCCCTGTTTCAGAAGTGGAGGAGAAAGCCCCGGATGCCGTGGACTACGGTGATATCGATGAGCTGTGTGACGAACAGACACGCTCTCACCATGTGCGTACGGCACTGAGCCTTGTCAACAAATCTGCTCATGGCATTTCACCCCTGGCAGCAGCTTCGTCAGGCAGTGGTGAGTCGAGTTGTGATTGTCAGCGGCTCTCTCTCTCTCTCTCTCTCTCTCTCTCTCTCTCTCTCTCTCTCTCTCTCTCTCTCTCTCTCTCTCTCTCTCTCTCTCTCTCTCTCTCTCTCTCTCTCTCTCTCTCTCTCTCTCTCTCTCTCTCTCTCTCTCTCTCTCTCTCTCTCTCTCTCTCTCCCCCCCCCCCTTACCTGCATATGAGATGAAAATCAGTTTGCGGCTCTGAAAGTGCACTAGCACATTTGTCTTGGTTTCGCTTCCCATAATTCCCTGCTTTGGAGAGTGGACATGGGCTGTGTTGACTTTACATGGATTCAATCTGCTGTCTGTGCTTGTGTGGTTGTTGTTGCTGTGTGTATGTGTGTTCGTGTGTGCGTGCGTGTGCTGCTCTCGGCTGGTGTGGTAATGCAAACAGCAGCAGCAACAGCATCGGCAGCACAAGGTACTGGTGACGATGACGACTACGACGATTACGACACTCCTGAACCCATTGGTAAGATATTGGTATCTGTGTGCTACCCATCCCCTAGATGAGGGGCTGTTCCAGTATGACATCAACATTGCCGGCATGACATCACCATTGTCAGTATGAGATCATCATGGTCAGTATGACATGACTATTGTTGGTACTTTGTGCAAAATGAGATTGTGGATGGCTACAACTTACAAGCAAGAGTACATAACCCCCAAGAGTGTGCAATTTCACTATGGGTGCTGTCCCAACAGAATTTTCAAGTTGACGTCATTTTCATTATGCAATGCGCATTGTACACGTAATATCAGACGTGTCCTGGACTTATGGCTGCCAAATCCCCATTTGATCTTGTACAAACTAGTTCAAGGAATGATGTGTGGAGGGGGAGCTGTGAGCAATTCCTAAGCTAAATATTGTCTCTCTCTCTCTCTTTCTCTCTCTCTCTCTCTCTCTCTCTCTCTCTCTCTCTCTCTCTCTCTCTCTCTCTCTCTCTCTCTCTCTCTCTCTCTCTCTCTCTCTCTCTCTCCCCCCCCCCCATTGTTTGTACCCTGCACACAGCCAGCGTTGGTCAGGCGTCCGGACCGTCCCCTGCGTCCTTTCAATCACGTCCTGTGCAGCCCAAGGCATCGCTAACTAGCACAGGCACTGGTGGCGTAGCCGTAACAAATGCATCTCTCTCCGTTCTGGCTGGAAGCTCACCGTCAGCCACTGCATCATCACCAGTTCCCTCAGACGGTAGTGCTGGCAAGCCCGATGTCGACGGTTTCCAGGCAAAGCCGTCGGCAGCCACCGTGATCATCAAGCCCAAGACCAACTTCATTCCGTCGCGCCTGTCCTCGCTGCCCAGCAAAGCACCGCTGTCGGCGGCGGAATCACCTTCACAGGTTTCTACCGCTGGTGTTCGTCCTGGCGTAACCGTGTCCTCCTCTCCTGCAGTAGCATCCAGTTCAACTGCCGTTGTGTCACCTACCAAGGCAGGCCATGCTGTCGCTAATGGTGTTGACGGCAGCACTGCGGCAAACCGCTCTGCGTCCGACACACCAATGGATGTTGACGAGGGCGCGGCGTCTGGGCCTGCCGCTGCACCGGTGCCCGATGAGCAGCAGATTGCTCGCGATCGGCAGGAGATTCTGGTCCTGGCGCGCAAGTACTACCCCGACTTCCATCCCGACAAGGTACGGTGTGTGTGTGTGTGTGTGTGTATGTGTGTGTGTGTGTGTGTGTGTATGTGTGTGTGCTTGTGCTTGTGTGTGTCCCATATGGTGCAGTGGTATGTGCAGCGATTTCCAATCGATAGGTTGCGGGTTCGATTCCCGAGGCGACGATTATGGTCACACACGTCTTTCTTCTCTTTCTCATACTCTTCCTGACTTTTCTTTCATTCTCCTGGGTGGTTACCAACAGCCAGTGCATGCCGGAGTATGTGGTGTGATGTGTGTGCGGGATAAAAATAAAAAAAGACCAAAAAGTAGGGATTCACTGGCCAGAAAAAGCCACTTCATAGCTGTGTAGTGTAGACCAGGCTGAATAGTGGCGGCCAATTCTTCAGCCTTGCAAGCTGTTGAATGGTGCAATCCCAGCACAAGTTGCTATGGCTTCTGCTGTAGCATCGCTATCATCGCCTCTGGCGATGGGCGTCCAATGGTCCAATGTGTGTGCTTGAATGCACCAGTGGGTGAATGGTTGTGGGTGGGTGCATGCGTATGTTTGTCTATGTAGTTCGGTGACTGCTGTTTTCCCTACAACTATTGTAGTGTTATGTGTGGAAAGACGTGCACCGAAGAGTGTTTGTTGCTAACACTGTTCTAGCCCGTTTTTGACTCTTCGGACACATTGCGCCTTCACCATCATAGGAATACATACTCGTAGTACCCTAAGCCTCCATGACTCCTTTACTACTATCACCCCATGCTGTACATTTGTATGTGTGTGCGTGTGTGTGTGTGCGCATGTACGTGTGTGTGTGTGTATGTGTGCGTCTGTGCCTGTGTGTGTGTCGTGCTGTGCAGGTGATACGCTTCTCTCGCCTGTTCGGCCCCGGCCGAGCGTCGTCCATACCGCGCACCTGGAAGGACATTGCCGTGCCACGCAAACGCTCGCCTCGGCGCACCTCCTCGGGCTCACAGCTCGACGAGTCACAGAGCGAGGGAGAGAGAGACGAGAGTGCGGCAGAGAAGCCTAAGGAGACAGGACCGCAGCAGGACAACGGAGAACTGGTGAACGGGGTGGAGGTGGTGGACGCCGCCGAGGAGAAGATCGAGGAGCCAAAGAAGCCGAAGAGGATCGACTTCTGGGTGGACGAGAGTGGACGTCTACGCTTTGGCTGTCGGCCATCCAAGCAAGAACGTGATGCGGGCGAAGAGTGAGAGATGCTTGCAAAGCTTGCACAGGACTATCAACACTTCAGACTAGAGTGGACTGAATTGAAATTCCGCGTCAAGTCATCTCTTCTTTTCTTTTATAGAAAAGAAAAGGACCAAGGAACTACAAGTTACGCTGATGTCCACAAAATTTATCCTTGGCTCTCCATCCGAGTCCATTCTTTTCTTTTCGTCTCTTTTCTTTCCCAGGTCACATTTCTGCAGTGCAAATCCGTGGCCGGTCGTCCAAATCACTAGACTTTGAGAACGGTCGTAACGGCACAGGCCAGTCCGAGCTACAGCGTATCAGCAAGCTAGTGGAGGCGGCAGCATGGCGTCACGGACCGGCCGCACTTATCTACGACATGGTCGGCTTGTCGGAGGACGCTGTGGACCTGCAGCTGGGTGCTGCTGGTGGTGGTACTGCCGGTGGCTCTACGAACAGTGGTCAGGCGAAAAAGGTGTGTTGCTACTGTTGATACTTCGAAGTAGCTTTGTATTCATACATCCTGTAGACCCACCTTGTACACACTCTCTCTAACGGTCTCTAGGCTACACTGCAATTGTTATACATTAGATCAAATTTTCGGGCAAGGCCCATCATCAGGAATGATGGGCCTTGCCCGAAAATTTGATCTAATGTATATCAATTGCAGTGTAGCCTAGAGACCGTTAGAGAGAGTGTGTACAAGGTGTGTGTACAGGATGTATGGATTCAAGTATTAGTGAGGTTCTGCCACACGGTAAAACGTGCCAAAGTACGTATGGAAACTTCGCCGCGGTACGGGATTTAGTTTGATACGGATTTTTTCATACCGTTTTCCGTGTGAAAGCGCGCTTCACACGGACTGGACTCCGTGTGGAAAGTGAGCGTAGAGAGTACATGTGGCGGGGTGTTCGTGCATGCTTCGAGCATGCTACGTACAGCAGAACCAGTGCAACGTACGAAAATTCCGTGTCAAACTTCACTGCAGTTGACACGGAGTTTGGTACGTAGTTCCGTGTAGCAGAACCTCTCTATTGGCTACAGTGGAGTCTCCAAACCTTGAGAATAGCTTTGTATTGTATATGTATTTATGGGGCGGTGCTGGTACTACCGTAAAGTACCGTTGATCCGCCCCCACGCCAAGTCGCTTCCCAGCTGGTTCTTCGGCAGGGGGCGGGAATTAGATCAATGCTGTCAAGTGCAGTATGATGTACAACAACTTGGAGGATTAGACTCGCTGTGCTGGATTGTGCACATTTTCATCCTGGATTGGCACAAAGTGTGTACAGCAGTGCATGCGTCGGTTCAACATCGTATTTCGTTGTATACGCCGAAGTCGCTTCAGAGGCAGAAAATCGACAGGGGGCGGGAATTAGAGAGGGGGCGGATCAACGGTACTTTACGGTACTGGTGGCTCTACTAACAGGGGTCAGGCGAAAAAGGTGCGTTCCTGCTGTTGGTGGTTTGGGCCTGCATTCATTATCATTGTATAGCACATGTACCAGTAAAGCTAGCTCTGCCGGTGTGTCTCTGAATAGGTGCTGGGACGTGGCAGTTTATTTACAGCAGGACCGCTGGAAGTAGTTTTTGATTGGTCCGGTAGTATTATCGCCGTTCATACTTTGGGTATCGAAATTTTGGACATACATGCCCTCCATAGTACTAAGCACATGTTGGTGGCCAAACGAGTGATCCGGTAATGACCTGACCAACCGGACCGGTTCCGGTTCCAGTGAAACCTGTCTAGGGCGACCACTCAAGGGACCTTCAAAATGTGATCGCTGTGTACAGGTGGTCGCCTTATCCCAGGGTCATTTGACTGTAAATAACACCCCTAGGTCCTAGTTGTGGTTGTCCTCTGGGACAGGGGTCGCTTTATACGAGTGGTCGCCTTGACAGATTTTACTGCACCAGTAAAGCTAGTTCAGCCAGTGTGTCTCTGAGTAGGTGCTTTGTGGCAGTAAATTTATTTACTATGGGGCAGTCCACAATCGTCGCCACTATCCCAACCGTACACATCGTAGACTTTCTCAGAGCCCCGTCCAAATCGTATGCGTATGCGAGTACAGTCAGTAGTAAATAGCAGTTTTGCCGTGTGACCATACAAATTGCTGCACCCCACCCCCCCTCCCTCCCACCGTACATGTTGTACTGTCTTATTAAATGGTGACGATACGGACTCCTCCTAGTCCTACAGTAAAAGTGTTCAAGCCGGCCGCTCACGGCAGCCCTAAACGCCATCCCCAGTGCTGAGTGGTCTCTGCGTCCAGAGGCACTCTTTGGTCATGGGTCTTGTGATTGTCTGGCACAGGTGTTCGCCACGTTGGAATGTTTTCAAGGCGAGCAGTTGTTCAAGTCATCTCCCTCTCTCTCCCTCTCTCTCTCTCACCTCTCTCTCTCTCTCTCTCTCTCTCTCTCTCTCTCTCTCTCTCTCTCTCTCTCTCTCTCTCTCTCTCTCTCTCTCTCTCTCTCTCTCTCTCTCTCTCTCTCTCTCTCTCTCTCTCTCTCTCTCTCTTCTCTCTCTCTCTCTCTCTCTGTTTCTTTTCTTGTCACTACTGCTGCTCCTGCAGAAACGTCTGAATGGCGACAGCAATGGACGCGCAGGAAATCCTCTCTCATTGCTCCAGCAACAGCAGCCGCATCAACAACAACAGCAACAGAGGCATGGCTCTGAAGCAAGGGCGTCAAGCGATGCCGACTCTGGCGTCGCACCCATCTCTGATGGGATCCTGGACGGGATCACGCCTATCTCACCGTCGCGGGTCATTTCCGAAGATGCCTACTCCATGGTAACGCAGATGCAATGGGAAGATGAGGTAAGTCCAGGTTTTCACCGTATGGAGGTTATGTGAATGACATCATCATGACATCACCGTGACAGCCAGAGCACGCTAAAATATGACCACAGACAAAAAAATCAAGTATTAGTTTCAGTTTTTTGTTCAAAAATGATCAAACACACCTAATGTTCACTGTCTGAAAGTTTCAGATTGATCCGACATGTGTAAGTGTTGCTACAGTGGTATTATATGCGGCACTGTTGAAATTGTGGAATTGTATGTACAGTAATGGGATTGTCAGTATACAGGTGATATGTCCCTTGGTTCATCCTTATCGGGTCAGTTCCTCTGTCCAGCGTATTGTAGTATGAGCTGACAGGCACTCGGTCACATCCGAAGTTTCTATAGGCAGCTGAGCTGGGTGTCTGAAATACCTCCTGGTTGGAGAACTACACGGTCGACACCAGTCCTGTCGACGTCCGAAGAAGTTGGTACTCCACGT